GATATCGAGCGCAGTAGAAATAGCCTCCGCAACGTCTGCTTTCGTGTTCTTTGAAAAGAACACTTGCGACTTACCCAAAGTAACTTTCTGGCCGGACGCTTGGCGGTAGCTCTCGAGGCATTGCGTTATCACTCTAACTTGTTCCATGGTGGCATCCGAAAAGAGCACCATATCGTCAGCGAAACAAAGATGGGACAAGGTTGGCCCTGTGTGTGCCAATTTGACCCCTTTCCATCGACCCGCAAGAACATCCGACGAAATGCTTTGGCTCAATCTTTCCATGCACAGGACGAACAACGCTGGTGACATTGCATCGCCTTGTCGAATGCCCCTCCCTGGATGAAACTGCCTCATTCGTTCCCCGTTCCAGACTATAGACATACTTGCTGTTTGTACGCAGTCCATAATAATATTGGTCCAGCCCGCATTAAAACCTGCATCCAATAAAGTATCGTTAATAAATTTCCAAGAAAGGCGGTCATACGCCTTCTCTAAATCTATTTTAATGGCCATCATCCATGTGTTTCCTTTTCTAATACGCATAGAATGTAGAACTTCCTGAAAAACAATCACATTCTCTGTTATTTGTCTACCCGGTACGAAGGAACTTTGGTAAGGTCCAACAAGTGTCGGTAAAATGAACTTCAGTCGATTAGTTATTGTATTGGTGAGCACTTTGTACGCGACGTTACACAGGCTTATAGGCCTAAACTGCTTTATATTTTATGGAACAGTAACTTTCAGGATTAGCACTAGAAGGGTCTCGTTCACTCCTGGTGGTAAAGTCCCGGACTGAATTGCACTCTGAACCATCTTGACCACTCCGTCCCCTACAGTCTCCCAAGTCTACTGAAAAAAGGCCGCATGTAAGCCATCCGGGCCAGGCGCCTTCATGGGGTTCATATAAAAAATTGCTTCCCTTACATCCTCCTTCGTCACGCTTCGATTGAAAAATTGCCATAACGCCGATCCAGGCTTTGGAAAGTGCCCACGGATAGCTCTAGTTGTGTCAATAGCCGCATCCTCCTTAAAAAGATTACTATACAACTCCTGCACATGCTGTTTAGGAGCTCCATTTCGTTGATCCAATTCCCACTATCGTCCATCAAGCACATGACCCTGTTCCGTGACTTTCGCACCATGGTCGAAGCGTGGTAGTGCTTGGTGTTACGATCCCCAGACACTATCCATTCTTCCCTTGAACGCTGAAACCACATCAGCTCTTCGTGGTATAGCACGGTTTCCAGTTCTGTCTTTAACCTTTTCTCCAATTTAACCAACCCTCTATGTGGCATTATTGATATGCATTTCTGAATCCCCTCGATCCTAGCCAAAAGGATTCCCTTTTTCGCCCCGACGCTGCCAAACACCTCCTTGTTCCAAGTATTCAAATCCCCCGTAACTTCCGTATATTGCTTAATAGGTCCTGGTTATTGCACCACGATCGTTTTACCAACTCGGCAAAAGTGGCATCCGTTAGCCAAGCAGCTTGAAACTTGAAATGGGGGCTACTTATTCTACCACCCCTTGTACCCGTTTGCAAAAGGATGGGGGCATGATCAGACGCTAGTCGCGGTAGGTGGCGCACATGTGCCTCGGGGAACAGTTGGCGCCATTCCACGCTACACAGCGCCCTATCCAATCTTACTCCCTTCATACTCCCCACTTCCTGCCCTCTCATCCAAGTTAAACGAGGGCCACTGAAACCCATGTCTATCAACCCTTGTTCATGAATCCAATCCCCAAACTCAATATTTCGTTGGGATGCAGAGGCCGAATAGTTTAGCGTTTCTTCCTGACTATTGACGGCGTTGAAGTCTCCCGCCGCCACCCACGGGTGCAGAATATTACGCTTGGATACCTGGAGTTCGTCCCAAAGCCTCCTTCAAAGGGGCTGGGCTGGGCTCGCGTGCACAATAGCAAAGTTCCAAGGGTCTGCTCCATGCTCCTTTACCTGCAACAAAACAAACTGAGGGTGAGTAAATTCCACCACTACTTCAAGCGGTTTATTCCACAAAACCCAGATTCCGCCACTAAAACCCACAGCTTCCACCCTGACCCAATCAGCAAAACCCAGCTTTGAGCATATCTTGTTCGCCTGCGCTCCCGAGACTTTGGGCTCAACCAGCCCCACCAGGCTCGGCTTATGATTTTTGATAAGTGTTTTGAGGACGCGCTGAAACTCTCTCCCTCCAGCGCCCTAACAGTTCCATATTAAACTAATCATGGAAAACAACGCAGCAAAACCATCCCACATACAACCGGCTCCCTAAAGCCCAAGTCAGACGGCAGGGGCATCCCCGCTTTCTGCGTCCTCACCCTGTCCATCGTCCACCTCCATGACAGCATCGCCGTCATCATATCTCTAGGGTCGTCTGAGTGATGTTCTCCCAGGCGCTCCAAGTCAAGCACCGGGCTGCACTCAACTTGTTGGTTGTGGCTCACTATAATGGTGTGTATTTGATCTCCCCCTCGCGAACCCCGAACTACCACTTGAACATCTTCCTCAGCTGCCTTACGTGAACTACCCCGATGGGGTTGACGTACGCTGGACTCCACAGCCGTCACCGGTGCCTGTGCCTGAACCCTGCCTGGTTGGTTTGCAATATGTTTCTCATTAGCAATCACGTTTGCTCTCCTCTGACTTTTGGCTCTGCCCGTGTTTGCTCTGCCTCCTTCTTGCGTCTTCTCCCGCCCAGCCATTCTTTGTTCCTTGGATGCTCACTGCACCTCTTCTTCTCTCACAGTCTCGTGCACCGTGTCCACTTCCTCTCCCAAGACCTCCCTTTCCTCCAGCTGGTCCAGAGGCGTGAAGCATGAATGGACTTGCCCCACTCGATTCTCTCCCCTGTGATCTTTGTTAGAGGTTTCTGGTCTTCTCCTTTGGCATTTATCCTCCCTTGTGACCACCATCCACGAACCAAAGGGCGCCCTATCCTCCACCATAGCTGGTGGCGGTCGCGGCTCCTCCCTCCTCTCCCTGGGCTGTTCGATCTCATCTCGGATCGCTGGTTTTCTTCGCCGTTGGGGGAAACTACCTTCTTCGGGCATTGCTCGTGGTTATGCCCGTACATCCCGCAATGGAAACAAACCAAATGTATCCCTTCGTAGGCGATGAACCTTGTCCTCCCTCTCCGCTTAAACTTCGAGAGCAAAGGCTTCGTGATGTCGATTTCCACACACATCCTGGCGAACCTGCCCCGAGATACCTGGCTAGTAGCACGATCTATTCTGATCGGCCGTCCAATCTTCCTCCCAATTTTCTACAAAAAGACAATGTTATTGTAACACTCCGTGTTACGGCCTTCAATCCCGAATGAATTATTTAATTAATCCCGTTAATAATAATTAAAAAGGATTTAATTTGATTAGGATTCCCTTTAATTAATTAATGTGGTCCACCATGGATTGTGGACCCTTGCCTAAACTAGAGTTTTAAGCCCATTAGAAATAAAGAGGGTAAACATTTTACTAGTCAGATCCTAATTAGGAATCCTAGACCTATATACCTATTAGGGATAAAGAAAGTAGGCCTTTATTATTCAGATAATGATTAGGATTTCTGATTCTATAAATAGGGGATTAGAAAGCAATTAGAAACCTTACCACCCATAGTTATATTACACGAAAATATTCCTGGGAGGTTCCCCGCTACCGAGCCTAGGGAGATCAAGCGGATGAAAATCTTAGAGAAGACCCTTAATAGCCAAGGGAGGATTAATTAAGGCTAAGAGGTAACCCATTTCTCAACAAAACCTATTTTCTTCGCTATAATCTCCTTCCTTGACTCCTTCTATATGCTTGTGTCTTGATGAATTCCTCTATGTTATTTGTGATATAATCTTGAGGATTGATAAGATGATTTATGTGTGTTCTTGATGATCTTGAGGTTGAAAAGAGGTTCTTGATATTAACGTGATGATTCTTGACAAATCTTGATATTTCTTGATGTTAAAGATAAAATATGATTTTAATGATTTGGGTGGGATTAGAGCCCTAGGCTGGATTGGGAATTTGTGTTGTAATGTTCTTGATATATTTTTGGGTGGGAATTCGCATGTTCGGGTGTTGTTTATGTTTAGAAGTCGTAATAGGATGAGTTCTACGTGATTCTTGCTTTTGATCCATTAATTGCCTACGTGGTGTCGTTAATTGCGTTTAAAAGTGTCTAAGCATGGTTTCGGGTTCCACAAGGGATCCCGGGACAAATTTGTGATAAAAGAGTCAGTGGGGGGTAGGTAGGGGTAGGGGAACCCGCTGCCCGAAGATCACCGCCAGGCAGCGGGCAGCCGCCGGGCAGACGCCTGCCCGCCGGCAACCCGCTGCCCGGGCGATGATCTCCGGCGGGTGACCCCCACTCACCGGCTACCCGCTGGTCCATACCCACCCCGGGTCTTCGGCTTCCCAGTTTGATGTTCCCTACTCTCCCGTGGTGTCCCAACGGACCCCGTTTGTCGTGCTCGAGTCTAGTTTGATATTTCGGGTACCGTTTTCGTAGGATGAAAGAGTCTTAGTAATTGCATACTAGTAGAATCGATAACCCGTTGACCTAGGTGGAAGTGGTATGAACCCCTTAGGACTATTCTTAGTATGTGAATGATCAAACGTAAGTTTATTAATATGTCTTCCCCACGTGCTACTATGTGTTATGTGATGCATGATCCCCCAATTTGGTTGCAATCAAATTGGGCATTCCCGAGCTGCGGTTCGGAAGTTGACTGAAGGACGAATTGATTGTTCCCGAGTTGCGGTTCGAAAGTTGGCTGAAGGCCGAATTGTTGGTTCCTGAGCTGAGGTTCAGAAGTTGGCTGAAGGCCAAATTGATTGACTATGAGCTGCGGTTCATCCTTCTGGCTGCGGTCAGTGATTCACCTCTTGGGCTGCGGTCCACATGGGCCTCGGGTACGATGACCGACCGAACTGGACGCGCCAGGCGATGTGTAGGGCCAAAAAACTCGAGGAAGCCTGTTGTAACACCCCCAAATTTTAAGTACATAAACTAAAGAATTAAAGGAAAATATTTCTCAAAATATGCGGAAGCTAAACCAACAACACAGGGTGTTATGCCACACTTGGGTTATTCTAAACCCAAATGCACAGGCTACAATATTTCTATCTACAATCCAAATACAAGGTTGAATAATCCGATTACAACTAACTATAAAACAGTCTAGGTTCTAATCCATTCAACTATACCATAAGCAATTCTCGGATACAAATTCTATTACAAGGCATACAAACTCTACGCCGCGCTCTCAAAGCAAGCCACTAATTTCATCTCCTGAAAACAAAAGATTTAGGAAAAAACACAAACAACAGAATTAGCATAAAATGCTAAGTAAGCTCTACTCCGCCATGTAAAATAAATACATTTATAATTCGAAAATAGTTATACTTTGTAAATAAATTTTGAGACTTGAATATATCACCATTTAGAAAACATTTAGTCAAGTGAATATATAGGTACATAACTACAGTAAAAAATATTCTTGACTCGCACCCAAAAATAGGTATTATATCCTTTCTCAAAATAGTTTTCTCGAAAGTAGGTTAGGCACCAACGCCATACACACTCTAGTCAGAAAAACACTACATTTCATACAAGTTAATAGAGATCCAAAATAATAATACTTAGCACTTCCCAAAATGGTATAACTAATACATAATCATTCTTTCTCATTTTCAAAATAAACATATTGTAGAGGATTCAAAGTAAGATTTCTCACATAATACTTTACAATACAATAATCATTTGTATAAACCATCATCTCTCATAAGCATTTTCAAGGTATACATAATATAGTTATGGAGGAACTCATAGCAACATACAATTTACTCATCAAGTGCTCATCTCAAGACATAGATTTTCTCAAATAATCCTTTTTAGTATAGACTTTCTCATAAGCCTCTCATAAACATATATATAACAATAATCATAGGTAGGGAGGAATTCAAATCATATTTCTCAAATCATTTTTCCAAGTATCACATATACATATTGGAGGAATATTATAACCATCACTCACGAGATTTCACATGTCCATATACTCTCATATATATAAGGTGAAAGGGGCGAAGGGTCTTAGATCAACTAAGCCCCAGTGACACGGTAATCCACTCTACCGACCACTCCACAAGTTTGTCCCTTTCGTGGGATAAAGGACTAAAACCTTAAGTGTGCACACCCTCTAATGGGCTTCCCCCATCCAAAAGAGTAGTAACTAGTCCAAGTAGCCCAGGATACTTTCTACTAGGCTACTCCACATATAATAGGTATCCAGGATGTTTTCTACCAGATACCTTCTCATCAAAATAGGGCCAGAGCCCACATAGGACCGAAGTCCACCATTCCACAACCATACATCATATCCCCATATCCTCCGAAAATAGATACATTTTTATATATCCTCCAAAAAGAATATAATAGTATGCAAAATAATACATTTTCTCTAATTTACACATTTCCTCCAAATAGATAGTCCTACAAAAATAAATATAAATCCATATCCTCCAATATAAAGATAGTTTCACTCATTTCAATATACTTAGGTTTTCAATCAATATTTCTCAAAGTATGAGTTTAGTCGAACTCTATAGCAATATAAATATGTGTATATATCACAAAATTATAAGTTTTCCAATACTCAAATCAATCCCAATTATAATTGGGTTTCAACACAAAACATTTAGGCACACCATAGATTATACACCTTTCAAAAATATATAGTTTCAACCCATATAAATCACAAGTCAACACCAAAATAACCATATTTTGCTATTTATCACATTTTGAAACTAGAACACATTCTCAAAATAATTTAAGTACACAAATCAAATAAATAGCACATTTAATAGGGCAAAGTAATTTAAACGGACATAGAAACTTACCTCAAGCTAAGCTCCAAAAGCTAAACGCATCCAATCCTAAGCTCACTCTTAGGCTAATCACATCAATAGAGAACCTCATCAAGAAGCCTCACCGAAGAAGAACAAAGGACAGCTGCCGATCTGCCTGAACTCGCCAGAGGAGGACACATCGGTCACTGCCGTACCGCCCACTGCCTCGCTGGCCCACTGTCTCGTCACCTCTAGAGATCACCGTCGCTGGGCTGCTCGTTGTTCATCTCCGGAGCTTTAACACGGCCACCGTCAACGAGAAGCACCGGATCTATGTTTGTCGCCGATCTGCTGTTGATCAACGAGAGGGAGTGCGATGTCGGTGAGAGGAAAGAAAGCAACGAGAGAAACTGTAACTCTGATTATTTTGGGGAAGAGTAAGCATAAATATCTATATATATAATTATATATATAATATAAATTTATTTATAATAGGGTTTTATTATAGGATTGGGCCATAAAAGATGTTGGGCTAAATAGATAAATAAAAATAATTGGGCTATGAATAATTTGGGCTCAAGAAAAATATCTTGGACTTATGAAATTAGAATCATTTGGACTTAAACATAGAATAGTTATACAATAGTTATACGAAGATTTTGGCAGACTTGTCTCAGATAGATTTTTGGGTAGTAAATCATGGGTCATAAAACAATTTATTTAAGTTTAGGGATAAAACAATTTGTTTTGAAAGTATTCGGGCTAAAATTTTAAGATTAAAATATAAATTTTATTTTTGAAAATATTATATTAAAATAATGTGTTTTAAAATATCGAGGTGTCACAGCTGTAGTCCACCGACCTGAGTAATCAGGCGGTGTGTAGGGCTATGGCTGGCTGCGATCCACCGAGTGATGGGCCAGCGGTGTGTAGGGTCGTAGTCTCCGAGGATCTTTGCCCACCGACTGAGTCCCTCAGCGGTGTGTAGGGCTTGATCCGCTACGGTCCACCAACTGTGCCCGTCAACGGTGTGTAGGGTCGTATGTCCCCCCTTGTAAAGGGGATCACAGTTCACCGACTGGGCGCGTCAGCGGTGTGTAGGATTGTGGTCCGACGTTGAGTTCGTCAGCGGTTTTTAAAGGGTTGGTTGCGATCAACTCCCTTCATGCTGCGGTATGAGGTAAGGTGCTGCGGGGCCATGTTAATGCTATATGCATTAACCCTCATGTTCGGGGCATGCGATTGGTCCTGTGGCGCCACCAATGCTTATGTGATATGAATGATGTCTGGAGGATGATGTGATTGAATTGAAAAGTGATTTGTGACCTTAGATGCATATTCCTTATGATGTTAACTCTACTTAACTGTTATCATTGATTAATGTGCTTGTCCCTATTTGCTGAGTCTATTCCTGGTTTTAAAGTTAGAGTCTCCTAAGTATATATCTTCCTGCTTCAAAATGATTTTCCTATATCTATATTTATATATATATATATATACCTATATTGTATTTCAACGCGTTGGAGTGGTTACCAGCATCTCTCGCTGAATAGATATATTTGGCTTTCAGGCACAGATGAGTAGACTCCGGAGCGCGCTAGAGATCCGAAGTGTAGATTAGTTAGTTTGCCTTTCGGCCTGCGCGCCATGCTTATGTATTGACATTACATTGTGGATTTTAGTTAGTTAGCCTGTGCACCTGGGTTCTCTAGCTCAGGTGTGGCATAGCACCCCATACTCTTATGTTTGATTCCGGGATTTAATGAGGATTTACCTTTATTATATAAGTTTTAAAAGTTCAAAAATTTCGGGGTATTACAGTTATAATATTCTACAGGTAAACATGGAAATCAAACCCATACCAACATGTTCTCTGTTTTGTCTATCATCGGATCGAAGTCTGGCGTCCATTCCTTCACGATCAGATGATGATCCAAGATCATCCAAGGCCCCCCCGAATTTCTCAAATTTCAAATCATCTGCTGAGCCAAATTTGACCAAAAAGTAGTCATTGTCAATCGCTACTAGTTCAAAGCTCCCTTTCGGCCTCCATAGAGCATAGAGTCGCCGCAGTAAGAGAGAATAACCTACGTGCTTGCCCCACACCTTCACGATCAACGCGTTCTTCCACGGCGCACGTATCGCTTCCTTCTCCTTCCTTGTTAGTCTGATCGTCGGGCACAACGGATCTTCCTCCTCGCTGACCTCCTCACCATCTGAGTAGTCATCATCCCCTTCCTGATCTCCTTCCAGCGTAATCAGACTCACGGCGATTTGGCCAGCAACGGTATCCCGGTATGAGAGCGGGGCCGGACGGTTGCATGGCGTCTCCACGATCGCTTCGTACTCGTGCATGGCTTCCATCGGCGTCTCTTGGACGACCTCCACTGTCTCGCGCTCCATCGTCGTTGGTGCTCCGTCGTTCCGCTTAGATTTCTTAGTGTTGCGCTCAAGCAAGTCCTGGTCCTCTGATAAACGTTGGTTCGAGAGCGTCACCGTGATCTCTCTCCCTGCAAGTAACTTTAATTGCAATATTCTTTAGAGTTAATCTCCTTCAGTCTCATGTTTGTTTTACCTAAATGCAGGAAATAAATAAGATAATTTTTTGGACAAATAGGTAGTCATAGGTTCGAACCCTGATGGTAGGGCTTAGATTCTTTGGACTGAAAATGTTTAAGAAAATATAGAACAAATGCTATCTTAAAGAATCATGAGTATTTAACCAAAAAAAAAAAAAAAAAAAAAAAAAAAAAAAAAAAGATAATTTTCCCAAATTTTCATTTTTTGAATTCTAATTGCATGTCTAGAAAGGAAAATTGGAAAAAATTACCTTGTCTAGCTATTTTGCATGCTTGAGTTAAAAGAACAATATCATTGAGAAATTTAACTGATATTTCTAAAAAAAAATTCTTAATTTTTAGGAGTATATTTTGGTTTTTTTAGGAGTATATTTTGGTTATTTACCTTGTGGAGAATAATTGAAAGGGGAAAACTGGAGGATAAAATAAGTTATATTACTACTGCTTCGGTCTCATTTTATGTGTCTGGTTCGATTAACGAGCTAGGCTTGACTGTAGTTATATTTAATCAAATTTTTCATAATATTAGTATAGTATTAGTATACGAAATTTATATATTTAGAAACTACACTAAAAGTACTATTAATTAAACACAAAAAATTAAATTTAAAAATAGCAAAAAATACTAAAGAAAATAAACAAAGAATAAAGAGTTGGTTTGACTAAATAAGTAGGACAGATAAAATGGGATAGATGGGATATAATTTAAGAAGAAAAAGTGCAACTTTTCAAAAAAAAAAAAAAAACCAACAAACAAATAAAAAAAAAACAAAACAAAACAAAGAATTGGTGACTTGGTGTAAACACATAAAAATATCCTTCAATTAATGATCACAAAACCAACATATAGTCTAACTGGAAGAAATTCATCAATTCTCCTTACCCAACGCATATTCTAGGGATTGTGGGTGCGGATTTCTTCGTACTAGTATTTGTGAATCTAATAGTCACTTTGATATAAATTGTTTACCCACTTAATTAATAATAAAATATAATAAAATAAAAGAGTTAATACCATCTGAGGTCCTTTGAGTATAGTGATTTTGTCACGTTTAATCCTAAACTTTCAAATTGACCATTTGTGGTCCTTCGACTTTCAAATTTAACCATTCTTGGTCCAAGTTAACCACCCATGGTCCTTCAAGTTTCGAAATTTAACCAGTCGTGGTCCAATTGAAAGGACCATGGTTGGTTAAAATTTAATAGTTGAAGGACCAATGATGGTTAACTTGGACCATGAATGGTTAAATTTAAAAGTCGAAGGACCACAAATGGTCAATTTGAAAGTTTAGGACTAAACGTGGCAAAACCACTATACTCGGAGGACCTAAAATGGTATTAACTCTAAAATAAAATATAATTGATGGATGGTGTACCAAGGTCCTGGTTAGTTGACTTTGTATTGGTCGGTCTATCTTCATTCTTAGGGTCTAGTCGGACCACAGGTCCTCAGCTATGGTGTAATATGAATGACATTCAAAGACTAAGAGACAATATAAATAATGCTAGACTCACAGCCAACATGCCTTATGCACACCGGCGTCCATTTTTTAATAGGAATTTGTTGTCTAATGTAATTATAATTACCTATTCTTAGTACAAAAAGGTGGCAAGGAAAATTAGGAGTTAGTTTCTCTCTCAAATGCCTAGCCTCCTTGTATAAATATCTCCACTCAAGGGTAATATTAGGGATGGATATAGGTCAGGCCCTATCAAGGCCTCTACGGCTTGGCCTATAGTTTAGGGCTAGCCTATTTAGTAAATAGGCCAGGCTTAGGCCTATTTAACTAAATATGCCAAACCTATATGTTTAAATGTTTAAGGTTCCTTCTCTAGTGTGTGTATATACAGGGGCGGACCCAGTGTGGGGGCAGTGGGGGCAGCTGCCCCCACTCACCCCACCCCCACCTCATATATAACCCTTGTATGTATGTATAGTACAAGATTTAGTATAAGTAAAATAAAATAGCTAATGTTAACATAATTAAATTTAGCCTAGTTGGCAGAGCAGGCGTGTTTCTTTGTGGAAGGATGGGGGTTCGATTCTCTCTAATCACAACACACGTATGGTTATTTTATGTGGCGTCAAAAGTAACAGTGCTATTTGAATAACAGTGGGCATTCCAAAATATATGTGTATACTTTTATAAAGTGTTTTCTATTAATAATAAGATGTATAATTTATAATGTGTTCTCTATTAGAATTATTTTATTAAATTAATTATGTTTTATATTTTGTTATAAATATTTTTTTTTTGAGCTCATATTTAACAATATTTATGACAAACTTCATATGTGTAATTTATAATGTATTTTCTAGTCATAATAAGATGTGTACTTTATAATGTGTTTTTATTAGAATTATTTTATCAAATTAATTATATATTTCATATTTTGTTATAAATATTTTTTTTATTTTGTGCTCATATCGAATAATGTTTATGACTAACTTCTTAACTATTTCATCTTTTTTAAGTTATTCTTTTTGTTTTAATATTTCGCCCCCACTGAACAAATTTTCTGAATCCGCCACGGTATATATATATATATATATATATATATATATATATATATATATATATATATATATTTTGAATCCAGGTGAAACCCCCTAGACAGGTGAGATAGTGAGATTCGATCGTGATCATCTATTCTTTTATTTTTACGGATCAGATTTGTTTGGATTTTGAAGCTTGTGCACTTATTTTTTTTAAGAGTCAGGGGCTTTGTAGTCATTTCTCATTCTATTTAATCATTACTTAATTTATCACCGACATTTTATGGAAGTTGCATCATTTTGTGATTCTCGAAGATATCCTTTTCAATATACGCTACAGTCTTCCATATCCGACAGCCG